ACAACAACAACAACAACAACAACAGCAACAGCAACAGCAACAACAACAACAACAACAAGCTTGATTAGAGGCCCCGTATATATAGATCATAATGGGTGATGTCCCGGCAGACATGTCTGTAGTCTTTTACCATGGGATTCTCGCCTCTTTTGTAAGGACAAGCGTCTCCTGTAGGCACAGACAGTCCCTCCAATCGGACTTTTCAGGGGGCTCTCGTGGCCTAGAAGTTAAGGTGTTGGCCTCTCATTCAAAGGTCCCAGGTTCGCATCCGGGTTGCGACCGAAACATTTTCTTCTCTAAAATTGTCCCCTTTCACCTCCTTTCCTGCTCTCTAGCAATGTTCTGTCGTCTGCTTTTATCGCCATTTTCTGCCCCCACCCCCTCACCTCTTTTACCCCCTCCTCTGGGCTCCTGACTCTTTCTGCAGCCTTTCTACAGCTTGTTAATGTTTCAAAATCTCTTTTCAATTTTCAACTTGAAAATCAGCTTCTGTAAAAAGATTTACCACTCATTTAATAGGCGTCTTGGTTGTTGTGTATGAAGATATTTAACTTTCAGCAGTTCGACAAATCTCTCGTGAGTTATTTAAGCCACAAACTAAGTACATTATTGTATTCCCTTCTCTAGTAAAATTGAGGTGGAAAGATTTAAAAACACAAAACAATCCGTTGATTATATTACTCCTCATGGGTTAAAAACCCAGCTCTGAAAAGGAAGAAAGACAACAGATTATATCACGGGCAAACTTCCCTGAGATAGTGAAGTGTATGCTACTCTTTTCCCGCAAAGAAGATAAAAATGACGAAGACTTTGATTGTGACAACGTAACAACATATTAGTAGGAGAAAAAAAATCTCTCATGGTCCTAATTCTACATGTATACTCAGATACGGCAAATTTTCTTCAGATATAATATATACAGTTACAATATTTTCAGAACGGTGAGACAAGTGCACAATTTACAAAGTACTCAAAATGATAAGGATAAACGATTAAAATAGCAGAAAATCAAATCAATTAAATAACCGATTATTTAAGAAAAAAAACAGATTAAGAAAAGGTGAAATAAATCCAAAGGAATTTAAAGTAGAAAAACAAACAAACCCAAAGAAACTTTATTGGATGATTTCCTTTTCTGACTCCTATGT